TAGAATTGCAGGAGAACAGATGGGCGACGCCATGATGCGTAGCACTTCAGTTTAGGTGCACATTAGGAATAGAAGTATTGATACCCATATTTCGTCAGCAATGCTGACCATTGATCATTTAACATCTGTGCAACGATGTCAATGTGGTTTTCTGGTCAAAATTGATCAACTTCGGAACAAATTTCGTTGACACACTAACGTGTGTCAAAAGTATCTCAACAAATTTTATGGCATGAGTCAATGGACTTATGCCAAGTTAATTTCTGCAATTGTAATTTAACGATTCTCCTTAATAATTTTCCTCACCGCTTCAATATTTTCGTCCGATGTGAAGGTGCTCGGACGTCCAAGATTAGCACTGTCATTAATAACTTTTCAGTTATCAGAATAGATTTGCTATATGTCAAAGTTAACACTACAAGTGCAATGAAATTAAAATTAAGTACAAGTTTTTTGATCAATTTTTCGTAATCATGAAAAATGGAAACGTTTAACAACAAAGTAAGGATCCAAAACGAGTTACAATGTTAACATTTGTCAGAGAAAATTTTTTATCAACATAAAAAAAAATAAAAATCGTATGAACTTGGTTAAGGAAATCTACGAAGTCATCTTTATTTTTTAAAGAAATTCCGTATATCTGTTTTTTTAATACTTTTATTCTTCTTACTAAATCTTCTGTCTGTATTAGAGACTATCAATAAGTTATTGAATCAAAAATTTTATGTATATATAATATAAGATAAGATGAGCAAATCTTTTATTTCGGAGCTTATCACTGACAGATAGCTCAGGGCTTAGAAATACAAAATAAAATATTTTCTCAATTAAATTATGATAGCCATTGACTTAATATATGGTCACTGTTCGGTCTGATATTTGCAGTGCAAGCTTTCATGCTTTTCGATATCAGATTTACACTTAATATTACTAGATCTATGTGTATAACTTTGTTTTTGATATACCATGGTGTTTTTTGTGTCTTCTTATAGTATATTCGACAAAGCGCGCTGCAGCAATCCTATACTTGATGATAAAATGTCGAGTAGAGATTTTAGACTAGCTGTACTTAAATTCTTATTTAAACTTTTTGGTTTCTATGTGCTTACGCCAGGCTTATCTTATATCTAAGAGAATGTAAGAGAACAAGTAACATTATTCGTTTAATGTATCGGTATGCTATTTAGATAAATTAATAGAGAAGTACTTCTATTGACGATAAAGAGGACATAGCAGCATTTCTGTTTATTGATACAATGCGTTTCTTTTGTACATGTAACAATGTGACTATTTATAAGAATATCTGAAGTGAATAGTATGTACTGACGATCTTGAAAACTGTTGGTCTCGCCCGTGCGATTCGTGGAGTAACATTAGCAAGACTTTCTCAGTATAACGTTCCTAGATTAAGTTCTATACATAAGAAAGAATACATAAATCTTGCAACAGAAACAGAATAGTATTGAAATTCAATCATTAAACATAAAAATAAAAATTATATTAGAATTATTATAAAAATTATTCTACAGCTGATTTGTGATTTCGTTCTACTTTAAACACAGCAAGTGAATTTGTTAATAAAACTTTTACAGCAAAGTAACAAAACTCCAAAAAAATGTACGAGGATAATAGTCAGTACGGCTTTGGGTCTGTTGGTTAAAAAGCGCTGACTCTCAGCTTCAAATTTAGCAGGGCACGAGTTCGATTCCTGGTACTTGCAGTCTAAAAAAAATTATTTACAAATAGTTTAATAAAAGAATTATTTTCAAGACCATTGATAATGGGTATTTGGCAATACTCGAAACAGCTGTATGGTCAGTCAAGAATTTAATTAATTAAAATAATATAAAATGAGTTTTTGTTGTTGTAGTTCACTACTGTTCGAAAAGCCTCTTTATGAAAACTGTTAATTAAATAACTTTATATTAATAAAAAAAAATAAAATTCTGAATTTGTCAGAAAAAGATAACCACAGTAATTATAGAGTTGATGGAAACGAAAATTTACTATTTGCACATAAACTGTCATTTACATTAATAAATTTTCCCACCAAACTAACAAGAAAATTAAATGTGAAATTCTTGCTTTCGTAAATTATCATAAAATGCAGAAAATTTGCATTTTTGTATTAAATGCGGAAATTTCAGATAAAAAAAAAATCCCGCAAAAGCTAAAATAACCGCAAAAGCAAGTACAAAAATCATCAGATACATTGTCAATGCCAGCAATAGCAACAGCAACAGCAATGGCAACATCAGCAACAATAGCCGTAATAAAATTGCATGTTGCTGCCTTAATTTACGACGCCAATAAAATTAAATTGTTGAAATTCCTACATTAAAGATAAAAACAGAGGAGCTAGTAGCTATCATTCTTTTAAGTGGCTTCGGGTTTCTTTTGTAAATACTTTATGCGCTCTTTAAATATTTTTGAAAATATTTTTAATTGTTTAATATCTTTCATACCAAAGTAATACGGGCAACTGCATCATCGAAATTCGTTCCAACACGCACTGTCCATGAATAATTTTCACCTCACCTGCCAACTGTCAAAGTGTCGAGTGCACAATAACCACTCGAGCGCACTTTTAAATGACGCCCTGACAATTGAGCCGATAATTCGGATTTGCTGTCATTGGCGTGGGTTTTGCACTTGGCGCTCCATCACAAACGCTAAATGGAGTGCTTATGTCATATTGTTTAAATTTTTAAATGTCAAATTTTTTTTTTTGGTATTTTTTTTTTTGGCAATTAATTTTTGCAGTTCCAATTTAAGAAAAAAAAAATATATATATTTATGTATATTTTTTTCAAGAAATGCGTGTGTCATAAATCTGTCATGGAGCTTCTCGGGCACTTCGTAAAGAATGTCAATTGATTGTTATTAATAAGTCGTCTCATGCATAAATTTTGTTGTTAATTGCTACTCACTTTTTATTAGAAATTATTAAATTTTATTATTTTTTTTATTACATTAAGAATTCTGAATGAATGATCACAAATGACGTAATTCTGCGACTCTATTAAAAGAATGTCATATGTAGGCGATTTTGGATATTGGTTAACTAATAACTGAAAGTGATACCTGATAGTGTAAATTCGAGAGTTACTCGATTATTTATATCGTAAGCATTGACAAACCTAGATATTGTATAGAGGGGGCCTGGCTGACATTTCTACTGACTACTACCTTTTTTAGAACGATTCGTCATATATGCTCAATTTGTGTTGTTTAGAGTCACTTAAAAATTGTTTCTCAACACTAAAATGGAATTTACACCCAAAAATTTTCATACTATTTTTTAAATTAAAACTTATAATTTAATTTAGACAATTAAAATAAGAACGCATTTATAAGTTTACACATCCATCAGCCATCATTCTTTGCAATTGTGAGATGCTTATATAGTTTGATGGAAGGTGTTCCCTAGAGGGGAAATATTGTGATCGTTGTCAAAAATCGACCAAAAAATGAAAAATAGTCTTCTATGTGTTATTATTTTAAGAGGCTAATATTCTAAGATGAACATTTATTTAGGGTGTTTGATGGTGTTCAATCGATTTGTTCAGACCCAGTATCCCATTATATTAACAAATAATCATTTAGTCGTGAAAAAGATTAATTTCTTTTGAATGTCAAATAATTCCATAAAAGCTACTAAAAGTGCTAATGTTAAAATTGGTGCAGAGATTAACTCAAAACATAACAACTGTGCTTCAAAATACCGTAACAATCGACCAACCATGACTATAGCATATGAGCATAAAATACAATAGCTGTGGTCTTTATGGGTGTTCCATGATGACTGAAATCCATTTCTAAAGTAGGCTGAAAGAAATAATTGCTTGTTTTTTTTTTTTAAGAGTGATCATCGTGTGGTAACAGTAAAAGCAACGTAGGACTTTCAATATATAATCCTGCATTATCATATGTTAGCCAGAAATATTTGGAAAAAGAAAAGGAAACTATTCATGAAAGACGGATAATTTTTTAGAACAGCAATACAGACAAAACAGTTTAAATATCCGCTCAAACGAATGGCTTTTAGATGGAGTTGGAAAGAAAATATGCCATAGACTATTTTCAATAATACCGTGTTCACACATAACTCCATCTAGTAAAAAATTTAATTTCTCTTTCATTTATGCTAAGTTTTATTTCCATACATCAGTAAATCTAAAATTCAATGTAAATATAGGTTTAATTTATTTTAAATACAGATATATGTCATATATATGTACAGTATATATAAATAACAAGTTTGTTACGAACAATGACGACACAAAATACGAAGAATTAACGAAATCATTCGTTAACAGTTAACTAGAAATTTTGTACGTACTTTTAAAAATCTTTCACAATAGATATATTTTTAGTCTTGGCAACCATGCGCTTTGAGCTGCTTATTAGTTAAGCGATTTTAAAAAGGTTGAACTAAATAAGCCAGCAGTGTTGTTGTTTTATGTGTTATTTTTAAAATAAGCGGTTGTTCTTTTGTGAAATGCTTACAAAAGAAAAGGCATATTATAAATTTTTCATTATATATTATTATTTTTGTGCATTTATAATAAAAACAAATTTTTAAATTCTTCCTGTGTGTATCTTAAAAACTTACTAATGTGAACAAGACACATATATTTAATTTGATTTATTTAGTGTATTATGAACAGTTTCCAAATTTCTTAAATTCATCTATCTCTTAATGATAGTAATTGCTCTCTCTATACGTGGTAGAAGTTTTATTTAAAAGTAGTCTATAAAGAATATATACATATGTGGCTTCTCAATAAAATTGTTTGCTATGTTTAATACTCATGTATAGGGTGAAAACATAGTTCTGGCAACACCACAAGTATATACCATAATTTTAAGGTTACCTGTCAAACAGTTGTCAAAAATTTTCATTGTGTTTTATTTCAATCAAGTTTAAATTTTATATTTTACTGTAATTGTTATTTAAAATTTGATTTGGTATACATAGAATTAATTTGTTAAACTGTCTAAATTACTTCTCTGTTTAATTTTGTTTTCTCATCGATGCTGTTTGTCAATCAATAGATGTTAATGGATAAACAGAAAAAAATTACGGTGATATAACTTTTTCAATTATTCAAATTTTTTTTATGATTTACTTCAAAATAATTTTTAGCTTTTTACTTTAAAAATTTTAAATAAAAATTTTATTTATATAGATTATTTAATGAGAGAAAGACATATACACTTAATTAAAATTTGTGGACAATTAGATTCTCCCAACGTTACTATCAATTGCAGGTAAATTTTTGAATATATTATAGCGAAACCGTAAATAATTCAGTCTATGAAACATTGGTGTCTATTAGTTATCGTATATCAATATTAGTTATCGTATATCAATATTAGTTATCGTATAAAGAAATTCGACTTATTACACTTAAATATGTTAAAATACTGACTAGTATCATAAGACCCTGCTCATTTAGCAATATATGAATAAAATATAGCGGAAATATGCTTTTGAAATCAGCTATATTTTGTGGTGACTTAATATATGGTAAGAAATATTGTATAGCTGTTATATTTAATTGATCAGAGTGCAAGGCATCTATAATGTCTGGTCTACTACTATTAAATTTGACGTAGCATTAAAATGTATACACGATTCTACTATTCTAGTACGATGAAACGTTTCAGGTAGATTGCTTGCCATTCTAAATAAGATCTATATCTACATCTCCAATCCAGTGTTTATCCGTTTTGGTGCTACTTACCTTGGATATTGTCTCCTATTATGGCATCTGTCAGTTGGGGACCAACCGATTGGGATCCCAAGCAACTCAACTCGGAATATTCATGAAATATGAATTATTTTCCTATGGCAGTATCAAAAACTTACAAAGCCATGATTTTCCTGTCGAAAATCTCTTTTTAAAGAACCCATTCTTTTGCTTTAACTATTTCTTTATCTAGTCAAAATTAACTTTTTATCAAACTTACAAAATTCTTTTAAATTCCTTGTTAAGAAATGAAAGTAGTTTGGTTTATTAAAATTTTTACTTTTTAACTAATTTTGGAAATGTTGTATTCGTATTAACTTCATCTTAGTGCCAAATCGATACTTAAGTGCCCGTTGTAAAATTGACCCAAAAACATATATATATACCTTTAAATAACATTTGTCCAGTAAGCATTTAATGAAATCTGTAATTGTATATAATGAAAAATAGTTTGTATATATTTCACATTTAGATCAAAATAAGAAAAATATGTGGAACGATTCTGAGCTTGAAATCGAAACCGAATCTGAAATAAATCTGGGAGTTGGAAAGGTGTTTGAAGAAACTCCTGATCAAATTGTTGAACAATGTACAGAGAATTCAATTTGTGATTTAAGTTTTGGTACATATCATAAAACAACAATTGCGGCCATAAGAAAGCATCGTTATATTCACACATTACTACTAAATAATAATTATCTCGAAAACTTGGAGTTATCTTTTACAATGCTAACAAATATAAAACATTTAAATTTAAGCCAGAATTTACTGACTTATTTGCCTGCAAACTTTGGAGATTTAAATAGGTTGCATACACTCATATTACACAACAATAGTATAGTCGATTTGCCAGATAGTTTCGCTCAGTTGACCAGATTATCCTATTTGGATTTGCAAGGAAACCCATTTTTTAATCGTATAAGAGCTCGTGTAGGCAATTGTGAAACTCCACAACAGTTCAAATCATGTGCACTTTATGTTGTTGGCTTGATATCGCGTAGAGCAAGGGATGAGACTGAGAAAAATATTGCTGCTTTCAATCAAGAGCGCGATCAGACTTTTATGAGAACAAATCACTCACTTTCTGCTGTAATCCGAAATGATGGCAATATATATCTTCAAGGAACGGAAACCACAGCTATGAACTCTGATACTATAGGTCCAAGGAAAATGTCATCTTTTGTCATTGTACTACAAGACGATGCAAGTCCACAACAAGATGTTCAACCTGCCAGTAATGTTCCAGCTATAGATGTACGTGACGAAATGACTGTGCAAAACCATAGAAAAATATGCATTATTTCTTTAACAGTAGTGGTTACATGTGTAACGCTGTTCTTAGTGTTTTTTTCCACAGGTTCTATCATTTGGAAAGCATATTTTTAAAAGGTATATAAAATAATTGAATAAATTTATATATATTATTTTTAACTCATTGGTGCTAGTGAAACAAGTAAACAGAAATGACCGCAGTATGGAAAATAACTTTACTAAAGCACAGTTTGAAGACCTTGACAACTCCTTGTGTTATCAAATGTTCGAGTTCCAGATTTTGAAAGTAGCAGAAACACATCTCCATAGTTGATCGACATAAACCGCAATGAAGTAACGAAACCAAAATTGAAGTGTGTTAACGAATTACATATATTAAGACTTTTTGACACGAAATATTTTTTATGTGAATACTTATAGACATATACCAAATTATGTATTTTTATAATTGTAATTAATACAACTAAATCATTTGAATCATTTGGATCTATTAAAATCTATTAAATTCCGTTGATAAATTTTTATATGTGTAATTATATTTTTTTTTAAAGCTTGTAGACCCCATTTACAAGAAACTTTATTGTGAAGTAAGAGCTGTATTCAATATTAAACACACTTGAAGTTTGTAAGCTTCATGTGAACTGTATGTGAGTTCAAAACGTTACCTCAGATCGCTAGTTTAGTTATAAGATATTTCCGCCTCTAGTGATATGCCTTTTTTTATAGAAAGAACTTTTCCGTTATGCGTATATTCCTAATTCAAGATCTACCCACAAAGTACGGAAATCGAGTTTTATCGATTCAAGATGAAAATTAAACTGCATAGAAATTATAAATATCTTCTCAGCAGACTCACACATGAATACTTAATTTTTGACATGTGCTGTTTTGAATAAAAAAAATTAAACAAATGTTTTATTAAAAAAAACTAACAAAAAATCCAATAAATTTTTCCCAACAGGAGCGCCATCTATCCATTATCAGATATAATGAAGATGTTATTAGAAGTTTTGTTGAACTGTCTAACACAATAAAATGAAGAGAGACTATAATATATTAGGTTTCAAATCTAGCTGTACATTCTCCTAGCATGCATCTTGTCACATTCCGAAGGTCTGCTCCTGATTTTCACTAACCATTTGTTAAGTATACGCTGGGACACCCTTCAATGGACCGCTATTATTTTTTTTTTGCGTGTTTCAGTTTCAGTCTAGTGTGTAAGCCCACTCTTTGCTACTACAGAAAAAAATGGTTTATTGTTACCTTAAGCAATTTTCAGTTTTCCGCAACGGATCCTTCTGTGCCATTAATTTGTGTAAGAAGGAAGTGGCCTTCTCTACTTTCTCTTTTAGATGGTTTAAACTTTCCGTGAGTTGGAACTGAAAAATCTGTTTCAAATCTGAATTTTTTTGTAGCTCGTTCATTCGCTAATTCATTTAATATACTTGTCATTTGTATCATATATAAAGTCAAAACTATTCCTCCACTAAGAAACCTAGTTTTGATATAACTAACAATTTTGATATTTAATGTACTGACTGCTTGAATATCTACTAATTTATTTTACATCAACTTGGATAAGATTCATTGGACAACATGAATTATTGCTTTTTTAAAACCATAAAAGAATTTTTCAAATTTTTTGTATTCCGACTGTTAACTGTTTGTAGTCCTCCATTAGATCCTCATTGAATAACTTAAATTTCAATAAAGCAAATAACAAAGAAATACCTGTCTAAATTTTCCTACCAAAATAGTTTCGTAATGTTATTGAAATGCAGTAATGCGAAAAGTCTATAAATTTTTAAAGCTTTCTGATATTTTTACGATGATTACCCAATACGAGTTGAGGCCTTGTTTTGATATTTTTTTGATTGTTGGCAGTTTGTTGCCATTCAAATGGTGTTGACGACTAAGCTGGTACAAGCCCATGTGAATTCAAAAACTGCTTACTAATTAAGGGTCAGGATCATTGAATAAAGTTTGTGGTTTAAATGACATATACTTTACATAATGTTAGAGAAATAATACTGGACCTATATCAGAATCTTTGTTATTACATTAAATATGATATCACCTCATCAGAATATGCTTATAATATTGATATTCATTTAATTTAATTTCTTTAATTTTCTATAATCTAACCTTTTTTTTTTTTGAATTAAATGCATATTAAAATAAAATATGAAAAAGCCATTTTCATGGGAGAGCCATGATTTTTATTGAACGTGTTTTTGAAGATTTATAAGTTATTGTTTGTTCTAAGCAGCTTACATTTGAACTTAACCGGCACGATGTCCAAATTTAAAATAGTTCTTTGATATCTGTTCCAGCAGTCCATTGGCAATCAATCCCCTCAAATACCATTTGATAATCCTTTGTGACTTTAAACCTATAACAGTTGTGGGATGTTGCTGCTTTATTTTCTTTACTACTGCTGTTATGGACATCTTGCGTCCCTCCTGATCCAGTTCACATAAAGCCTCCATAACATTCTTTTGTGGGACCAACGGGGCGCATTGTCTTGGTCTTCTTTTGCTCTAAGATATGTTGATATTTATTTCAGCGAAATTAAAAAAAAGAATGAATTATCAGAACTTACCATTTCTGCTAAAGTAATTGCTTTGTAAATGAAAAACTTAACTACGGCAGAAACAAATTTCTGAAAGTTAAAACAAAATTGAAATGACTAAACTGATTTGACAAAATAAAAAATTTTTTAAATTTTCTAAGCTTACGTTATTAACTTTGGTGCAAGAAATTCAATGAATACTTTTTTAATTTGGTTTAAAAAAAAAAAATTATTTAGTTTCTTCTTCTTCTTCTTCTTTTTTGGACTTAGTGCTATTACGCACTTTTACTCTATAATGGCTTGGGGGCTTATCACTACCCCACACTAGGCTTTAATTAGGCTTTAACATGTCATTTATTTGTCTTTTAGTTGATGACGGACCTTAAATCAGCATATCTTCCTGAGAATCCAGAAGTGGACTTGAGGATTGTAAGGGCCGGGTTTAAGTAGCGTATCAACTTTAGAGAATAATTTTAGAGCTCTGTCTCTGATATATTTCTTCACTGAGTCAATCTTAAGATCTCTATGTATGTCTGTTGATCTAATATACCATGGAATCTTAAACAGTCTTCTTAAAGCCAGGTTTTGAGCTATCTGTAATTGCTTTAAGGTAGTATTTGAGGCTTTGCTATATATAACACATCCGTACAGTAGTGCTGGTCTAATTACTTGTATATAAAGTAACTTTCTGTTTTTAAAGTTGAAGTGATAATTATTAAATAGCGGCTTTAATAAATGTAGAATCTTAGAGTCTTCTTAAAGCCAGGTTTTGAGCTATCTGTAATTTCTTTAAGGTAGTATTTGAGGCTTTGCTATATGTAACACATCCGTACAGTAGTGCTGGTCTAATTACTTGTGTATAAATTAACTTTCTGTTTTTAAAGTTGAAGTGATAATTATTAAATAGCGGCTTCAATAAATGTAGAATCTTAGAGCAGTTATTCCGCTTGTATTTTAAATATTTAAGCCAATTGAACCGTTTGTTAAAAGTGACCCCCAGATATTTTATGCTATCCTCCCACCGTATTTCCGTGTTATTAATCAAAATGTTTATAAAAACATTTATTTTAAAATTTCGTCACTATTATCACTCGTTTTTATTCGAAACAGATATCGTGTCACGCGATATAAAGTTTTTAATTTAATTATTTGTCTTATTTCTTCTAAACTAAATTGTAATAGAATTTATGTTGCTGAAAGCACAATTAACGCGAAAAGAGATTTAATAAACTCAGAAAGATATTAGTTGGCCTAAGATAAGATGATCTGATTTGATGTTGTTCTGTTGTCCTTTTACTTACAAATACTCGTATATAAACTCATGCTGTAGCTTGGGTCTTTTAGTGATGTTTGTGTTATAGGCGTATTGCTAATTCTCGGCTCAAATTTCGAAAGTATTCATACTGCCCCAAATTAAGGAAATCATATGTATTTTGTTTACAAATCAAATGTTAAAAATTACATGCTTTAAGCACCATTTGTATCTGGGAAATTTTAAAAGTAGATTCTTACAACTATAAAGAATTTCTATAAAGAATAAAAACAAAAATAAAAACAAAATTAAGATTTTGACGAAATTAAGGTGTGTCTAAACATAGTGTTATGTTTATTATTTATTATATTTATGGCATTTTATTGCATATTACCAATACTACCAATATATAATAATAATAAAAACGATTACCACAATTATTGAAAAAAATTATTTGAATTTTTATGGCAAATCTAAACCTCAAAAATGTATCTTTGGGGCTCTTAATCATGTATAAGATAGACAAATAAATGTGTTTGAAGGAGTTGTGAATATATCCAAAACACAATCCCCAGATATGCTTACAAAGGTGTGCATTTCGAGTTTTTCAATTCGAGTGCAGAAGGCTACGCCATCGTCTAAACCTTTGAACCATATTAATACTATCATTATGAACATAGAACTAGTTGTGTTACTATTGGAGAGCAGTTTTGCTTTATTGTCCTTAACTACATATTAATGATGGTTGGGCATGATTCCAATTTCTCATGTACGTGTAGCCCATTTGACAACGCATTTTATAGATCTTTAGTGATATGTTATATGTTAATGTGGATTACTTCATTAGATATCGGACATTAGTGTTAGAAAATTTTACATCTATTTGAGTCTCACTAACAAAAAGTTGACGGTTCATCTGTAACGTTTGTTTGTGTGATTCAGTAACAAATTGAATATACTAGTTGACATTAGATGGCATGTATGATTGTTATTAGTGTAATGAAAGTAAAAAGTTAAAAAATTAAGAAATACATATCTCGAAAAATGAATTATATAAGGCCTTTTCTAAATTTGTCTATTGTGAACGATTTCTGGTTAACTAGTGGCGATATTTTTACAAAAGAAAAGGTCTTATGTGAATCCTTTAACGTAGGAATATATTGTTAAAATATACACTGAAATTGACAGTTCATAATAAAATTTTGCTGAATGTTTTTATGAACGATGAAATATTAAAATTTCGTTGAAGTCTTAGTTATATTAGTGGTAAACAGATGGTGCTCTGCAAAGTTGTCGTATATTGAATAAAATTTACTTGTCTTTAACTATTTTGGTTATTATAACGAGCCTCAGTTTAAGATAGTATTTGTTTAAACAGTACTGATTTATATGACATCTAGTCCGTGAACTTAAGTTTATTTTATACCACTTTAGGCTAAAATCATATTGAATCTTTATAACTAAAATTGTTTTTTTATGCCTTCACATACAACATTTTTGCCAGACTAATGTTTTCCGCTTCCTCTGCCATCATGTTTTTGTGCTTTGTCCTTTAGCGCATAACTCATTTAAAGACATTTACAG